TCTTTTAATTTGAAAGAATTCAAATGTATCGATTTCTAAATTTTATAAAACACATAGACAAGCTAAAAATTGTTTTTATAATGTTATAATTATAGATATAAAATCTACAATTATAATCAATTTTATAATATAAAATCTTCAAATATAAATATTAATAAATTAATTAATTTTTAACCAGGTGATCACACACACAGAATATGTTAATAAATATTAATATAATAAATAATTGTAATTAATGGCAATTGTAGTTATTAGCAATTATAGTGTTAAAATTAATATAACAATGTCATAATTAATAAAAAGTGAATTTATAATTAAAATATTAATTTTTTATTGCAAATCGCGTAATTATTCTAAAATATACGGTCTGCATATTTTTTTTTCAGATAATTATCAATGCAATCTTTTCGAACAACAAAAATGGAACGTAACTATTGTTGTTTTATTTATAGGAGTTCGAGACAAATTAAAAGAGCCATTTTGGAGAACGAATTCCTGGGTAATCTCGAAGAGAATCAAGTTGAGGCACTCGTCTCCGCAATGTATCCCAAACAAATTCCAGCTAATACTCTAGTTATCCGAGAAGGTGACATAGGTATGGGTATACATTGACTTTTATATATTATCATATATAACGAGATTAGAACAGTATATTACAAATAATTAACTGTCTATAACAGAGAGTTATACATGCCAAATATTAATATATGCAATTATAAATTTATACGCATATATATATTGTTTGTTCGTAGGTTCGCATTTGTATGTATCCGCGGAAGGAGAATTTGAAATTTACCAAGGAAGTAAATTTCAAAGACGCTTCGGGCCGGGGATTGCATTTGGAGAGATTGCTCTTTTGTACAATACAAAAAGGCTTCGATCTATCAATGGTAAACAATGAAAAATGTGATCAAAGTTTTAAATTGTAAAGAAAAATTGTAAAATAGTGCAAATAATTATGTAATTCATAATTAAATATTAAACACAGTCATTCCTATATACATATATCGTAATATAAAATGTTGTTTTTTGAATTAATAATTGTTCGATTTTGTTATTTCAGTAAAGACAAATGGAAAAGTATGGGTATTGGACAGATCGGTATTTCTCACTATAATGATGAGAACAGCCCAAGAACAACTGGAAGGCAATATTCGTTTTCTTCAACGCGTTTCCGTTCTCCAAAAGCTTCCCGAACCCAAGGATCATGTGCTCGCGAAAATATCTGACCTCATAAGAATAGTAAGTAAGAATATTAAAAAGATATTATTTTGTCACTGCTGAATCTCTCAATTTATGATATAATATATAAGAATGTTATAATAATGTTTCTCTCTAGGAATTCTTCCCGGCTGGAGCGAAAATATTGCGGCAGGGCGAGAAAGGTGAGAAATTTTACATAATCAGCGGTGGTAACGTACGTATTACTAAGGATACCGAATACGGAGGCGAGGAGGAACTCGTGGTCCTCGGTAAAGGAGATTATTTTGGTGAATTGGCTCTCTATGATGACGGAGGTGAACGACGTGCCAACGCGATTGCACTCGCACCTGGTGTCGAATGTCTGACATTGGATAGAACGTGAGTTCAATTAGCATACACGCTATTTATTTAAAACGCACAACAATGTAAAATTTTTGTTTTACGTTTACTTGATTTCAAAATGAGAGAGTTTAAAAATTTAAGATATTATTATTTAATATTAATTAAATTGCTAGGTCATTCTTAAACTATCTGGGCAGTCTAGACGAAATTCGTAATAAGGATTGGTTAGCAGAGTATGAGAAGCAGAAACGTTCATTGACTCCGAAAAAGTGGACCAATGAATATGCAAATTTGACCTTAGCTGATCTTGAAACGAGAGGAACGTTAGGAGTGGGTGGATTCGGACGCGTCGAACTAGTCACGCTTAAATCCGATCCGAACAAAAGCTTCGCTTTAAAGAAACTCAAAAAGAAGGTCATGGTCGAGCAGCAACAACAAGAGCATGTGCTAAACGAGAAACACATTATGCAAGCGTGCGATTCACCATTCATATGCAAGTAAGTCATAAAAAAATTTGATATCATTATAAACCAAGATCAAAATCAAGATCAGTCTGTAATATTGTAATATTAAACAATTAAGATATAACTATTTGTATAAAAAAATTACGCAAAAGTTTATCATTTATAAAATAAATATATTATTTCTATCAATCTACGAAATCTTGTGCTTTATCGAATTGTTAAATTTTTTAAAATAGAAAATAATTAAAAAATATATCATATAATTTATAATAAAGATATTTAAATAAATAGAAATAAGAGAAAGAGAGAGAGAGAGAGAGAAAGACAGAGATTTCTCATAAGTTCTAATAGTTACGTAAGAATTTCTAAATAAAATCATACTAAAGTCTGATAAAAATTAATATGATTTTACATCTGCTCAGACTTTATCAGACATACAAAGACAGCAAATACGTCTATTTCCTGATGGAAGTATGTCTCGGAGGAGATGTGTGGACGACTCTGCAAAAGAGACGCTACTTCGACGACGCTACAGCTCAATTTATGGTCGGTTGCGTGGTGGAAGCCCTCGATCATCTCCATTCGTTAAATATCGTTTATCGAGATCTTAAACCCGAGAATCTTATGCTCGACATGCGCGGCTATTTGAAATTGGTGAGGCACTCAATTATTAATTCGCTTAATTTCCAATTATAAGAATATTATAGCAAAAGTATATAAAAGTATATAATAAATTATTTAAATATCTTATCAATTATTATAACTTAAATTTTTTAAATTTTCTGCGACAGGTGGACTTTGGTTTTAGTAAAAAAATTGGTCCGGCCAAAACATGGACGTTTGCTGGCACACCCGAATACGTCGCACCGGAAATTATCTTGAATAAAGGCCACGATAGGTAAAACATTTAATTTAAGTTTGTCTTTATATTTACTATTTAACTGTTACGTTTCGCTTTCAATTTCTAATATATTTTTACATTATGCTTACTTTTCAATTTTAAAAGAGCGGTGGATTACTGGGCCCTTGGTATCTTAACGCACGAGCTTCTCATCGGTAAACCGCCTTTCCGAGGATCCGATCATATGACAACTTATAATAAAATCTTAAAAGGAATTGAAATGATCGGTATACCAAGCATTGTCAATAAAAACGCTAATAATCTCATTAAGAAGCTACTTCGTTTAAGTCCCTCGGAACGATTAGGTTATCAACGAAACGGAATACAAGACATCCGCGATCACAAGTAAGTACCTAAAAAAAAAAAAAAATTCTTATAAAGAAAAAAAAACAACATGTATATATATCACCGGTAATCCGCGTGATATTTCGTGTACATGTAATAATCAGGTAAAATTAAGTGATGTTAAATATAATACAAAACAACAAATATAATTCCTATTTTTATTCTTTTAACAGATGGTTTTCCGGATTCAACTGGCAAGCACTTCGAAGATTAGCTCTGCCGGCCCCTATCGTACCAACGGTATGTTATCATGAATTTACAATTGACCAACTTTTTTCTTCTCATTTATGAGAAAAAAAATATTATATCGATATAAAAATTTATTTTATTTGTACGTTTTCAGGTGCGACATCAACTCGACACACGGAATTTCGAAAGATATCCACCAGATCGTGATATTCCACCAGATGAATTTTCCGGTTGGGATATTAATTTCTAAGAATAAATTATTGATATAATAGAACTATATAAATAATAGATAATTAAATAACACGATTTTTGTGCTATAAAAAAAATTTTCTTGACCGTTCATTTTAATAATCAAAATAAAAAGTGTCAGCCTTTTATTAACTGTCACAACAAAACAGTAATGTGATAAAGATATGAAATTTAAAATTGTATCGATAGAATTTCGAAATATTAGAATAAGTAGCTACATAAACGAATTAACGTTTCTGCCAATGATTTGTGCAATATCAATTATTAATTAATTGATAAGTAGTAATACCTTTCACGAAAAATTTTAGCTTCAAATTGCGTGTGTGTGTGTAATTCATTTTTTTATAAAATGTTTAAATTTTTCCTCCCTAAAATTATTTATAAAATTTGTTAAAAGTAATTAATAACACATAAAATGTTGCGCTAATTAAAACATTATTGATAATTTACTTATGCAATTAATAAATTTTCCAGTTCTGATACATATATAACAGGCAAATAATACATAAAGAATAAAAAAAGTTAATAATGTAAATAATTATATTATTTTTTCGTAAGCAATTATTGAGATTCCGGTGTACCTTATATATAATTACAGATGAATATACGTATTCTTCTAATATAGCGATACTCCGTTTTGTACAGAAAAATTAATAATACGATATTGCGTATATGTATGTGTATATATATATGTGTGTTGATGTACTATAAATTATATTCTTTCCAATCATAACAATACGTTTAAATTGTAAACTTGGTTTGAATTTTACTAATGTAAAATATGTTTACACATGTGATCACACGAAGTATCAGCACATAATTGTGAAGTAATAACGTCACATTTTGAAATAAATAATTTTATAATTACTATTCATATATATATATTATGCATTGCATATTTTTCCCTCTTTTAAAGTGTAATTTTTAAATATCTTTTTAATACTCGTAAAATAGACAAAATTTAATATGTAGTTTTAGTATAAATTATTATATGGTATGCATCATCAAACTGACATACACAAAATGATTATTATAAAACACTAGCCCGATTAGTATGAATACACCATAAAAATCAATTTTTTTTCTCTTATATTTTTTTCATCTATGCCGACTTTTTTTTTAAGTACGCGATTAAATATTATTTTGTGTGCTTTTCTTAAAATAAATTTATATATTCGCAACATAATTTAAATTAAATTTCGAAAGTTTATCTTTATTAATTAAGACTGCATTTTTACAAAAAAAAAACGTCGACAAAAAAATAAATTTAATTTTGATTAATTTTTTTACATAAAAGACAATATATAAAAAATTTTGACGAATATCCATAGGATCGCGAATAAATCTGTATTGAATGGTTTCTGTAATTGAGGTGCCAATTTTTAGTTATAATAAGATAATTCTAACATTATCTATATACATATTAAAAATCATAATAAAAAAACTTGAAGAGTTTTTATCATTTTATATATGTAAATTGCAGGATTATTATAAATATACTTTTCTTTTTACTTTAATGTTTCATTAATTGTTAACATAATTAATCAAAATATTGAAAATGTACTCATATAAATTGTGGAAACATTAGTGTACATTTATAGATATACACTAGCAGGAATTTGTAAATGTTATTTATAATTCATTTTTTTTTTGTGTAATCTACATAAATGATTACGACATTCAAAAATATCATAAATCAAAAATTATTTTTCGCTATTTGTGAAACAATATTATTTGTAGACCAAATAAAAAATAAAGCAATAACATAGGCAGCCCGTGAAAATTTGGCCGCCACAGTGATCGCAATATAATGTATATAATAAATAATTTAAAGTTTACCTCGATGTCGAGGAAAAAGCCGTTATTATCCTCCAAGATTTTCCGAAATAAACTTACCCTGAAAACAGATCCAGAAATACGAAAAGATTAATAGAAGTTTATTTCATAAAGTCGCGAGTCGCGGCCTTCGAAATGCAGGTTATATACATACTCATAATATCGATATGATCTATCGCAATCCGTCCGTGATAAATCGGCGAAGGTTGCAACGATGTAATGCGATGCGATCGTGGATACGAAATATAAAAGGATTCACTTTATGCACCTTTTTCCAATTTTACACAGGAAGATTCACTTTCGCATGCACTTCTTTTAAACTAAACGAAACTAGACGTACGTTTTACCACGTCTAGGAAACAACGCCATTAGTACGTTAAACTTTCGATGCGCGCGATCTGGCCTCCCTGGCGCCCCCTCCCCTACACCACTCTAAACAGAATATTCAATATTATATATAAATGCATATTAATATAACAAAAATTTATTCGAGAGCGATAAATATAAAAATTAAATCCATTAAACTTTTCGCACTAAAAACGAAACGAAACGTCCAAGAACTACATCATTGCGATCGTTGCATGCATTAACTTTCGACGCGCGCGATATCTTTGGTCCCATACAATATTCAATATTATAGATGCTTCCCGATTTCCCTAATGTAATCAAGATTATTCGAGAGCGATACAAAATTGCAATTTGCGATTAATCTTACGGTTTACAATCCTTGCTTCCTTTGAATTTTTTACACACGAAACGATGCGAAGTGAAACTTACGTTTTGCGCGTCTCGGACCGTCGTCGACTACGTCATCATAACGTCGCTTTTTGCCGCGCGATCTGGCGTCGCCACAGAATGTTCAATGTTATAGATACACGTCCCGATATTCTTAATGTTACCAAAATTTATTCGTAAGCGATAAGTAGAGCGACCTGTTGTTAATTTCGCGATACTCTTTTTAAACTTTTCGCATTAGAAACAAAACGAAACGAATATTCGACTCGTCTGGAATATTGCATTATTATGACTCAACTTTCGACACGCACGATCCCTCTGGTCCTACATGCAATATTCAATATTATAAACGCACTCCTCGATATTCTCAATGTAATCAAACTTCATTCGAGAACGATATGAAACTGTAGTTTGCCATTAATCTTACGGTTTAAATTTTTGCGATACCTTTGTTGAACTTCTTGCACTCGGAACAAAACGAAACAAAATTCGTATGTCTTGCCCGAAAAGTATGTTATTATAGGTATTGTTTTTTCGCTCGCGATCTGGCATTGCCACAGAATACTCAATGTTATAGATAGGCATACCTTTCGTGCGATATTCTTATTGTTAATGTAACTAACATTTTTATGTAACTAACGTTAATTAATTTAATGTAACATTTTATTAAAATGAGAAATTATTTTGCGATGTTCTATGTAATTATAATATTTTGTCATGTCTTTTAAACAAATTGACGACTATTTGACAATTGACTGTACTCGCGCTACGCGCTACCTTGTATTGTAAACAAAGCGGTCGAGCTCGTTCACAACAAATCTCCTTCTCTCACACACGCCATCTCCTCTCCTCGTCGTATTTCGTGTTGTCAACATAACTCTCGTTTATTGTTAGATTGTTAGTGCTATCTCGACTGTCGCGAGAATTAGACCGAAATTCTTCTGATTTTCATTTGTGTCATACGGATATATTATTCATATAATCTATATGATTAAGAATGATAAATTAATTATCTAATAAATATTACAATGCGTTTATTAATAATAAAAATTATTATACGATACATTCGCGTTTTATATTCGAGATATATACATATATTAATCGTTTGTTTATATTCGATATGTGTCAACGTCACGCATTTTATATTCAATATATATTTTCGTATTACATATATAACACATTCTGTCAGAAAAGCCTTACATATGAATTTGTCTAATATGTAAAAGCACGTATATTTAATACGCGTGTTTCGTCTCTAAATATTCGCATCATTATTCTCGGTTATTCAAAAAATGAATAATAATTTTTAACAATAATAATAAAATAGAATAATGCAATTTTTGAGACGTGTCGAATATTTGTTTCGTTTTGTTTTGTTTCTAATGTGAAAATTAAAAAAGGTATCGCAAAATTAACAAGTTGCTCTATTTATCGCTCACGAATAAATTTTGGTAACATTAAGAATATCGGGATGTGTATTTATAACATTGAATATTCTGTGGCGATGCTAGATTGCGCGACAAAGAGCGATGTTATGATGACGTAGTCGACGAGACGCGCAAAACGTAAATTTCACTTCGTATTGTTTTGTGTGCAAGAAATTCAAAGAAGGCAAGGATGGTAAGCCGTAAGATTAATCGCAAATTGCAATTTTATATCGCTCTCGAATAATCTGGATTATATTGAGAAAATCGGGAAGTGCTTTTATAATGAATATTGTGTTGGGATCAAAGATATCGCGAGTGTCGAAAGTTAACGCAATAATAGTTTTTGGGACGTTTTGTTCCGTTTTTAATGCAAAAAGTTTGACGAAGGCATCGCGAAAATCATAAAACTAACGGCAGATCGCTTTATATTTATCGCTCTCGAATAAATTTTGATTACATTAATATATATATCGAGAAGTGCGTCTGTAATATTGAATATTGTATGGGATTAAAGAGATCGTGCATGTCGAAAGTTAAATTATAATAAAATTTAAACAGTCATGATGCACGAATATTCAGAGACGAAGCACATGCGTCGAATATATCCCCGCGATACACGAACAAATTCATGTGTTAAAATTACATTCGTCTTAACGCTACGAATGCTAGAAACTTTTTATTGACCAATGAGAGGATAAAGAAATCTTTGCCCCGATAAGTCAATCAAACGCTTTCAACACTTGTAGTAGCGTCAAGCGAATGCCGCCTGAATATAACGTCATAACAGCCATATTTAATACGCGTAGTATCACTCGGAATCGGATCAGTCTTAACGGAAATCGGAAATTGAGATGTTTAGTAGTTCTCATTTTGCAGTGTGTTGCGTGTAATCGTTTGTGGTGTGAGGATAATAATCGTATAAACATAATCGTGACAAAGGACAAAGTATCATGAGCGTGAAAGAAACTGAATTAATTGATCGTTGTGATTAAAATGCTGTAATAGCCTATGGTCACTATACGACAATCACGTGTTTCATCACTCTTATCTGAGTTACGATCGCATTTAAGTTACTAAGAATAAAAATATATCGTCTGCAAATAATCGGGAAGACTAATCGTAATCGTAATCGAAAGACTAAATATCAGGTGAGATTGTGATATTACGCATAAATACAAATATATCCTGCCGGTAAGAAATGCGAACGTGTTATATCATATAATTCGTTCGTCGCTTTTAACGCATCGTTTCGAAGTTGCGCGCTTTTTACAATCCGCGCGACGGTAAATCGCGGCGGCTACGGCACAGTGGCGGCAATAGGTGGTGAGAAGTGGGGAGGTAGGCGCGCGCCGCCATTGGCTGGCGCGCGCAGCGCGTCGCGTCAGCTGTACGCAGTCAATTTCTAGCGCCAGTTGAGTGTGGTGGACAATGCGGACTAGCGCGCAAATGGCGTCGCAGTGCCATCATGAGCGAGAGTGTGTCGTGCAGTAACGCGTACGGGCCGCGTCCGGGCGCGGTGCCTCGCGGCCCAGCCTGACGGCGAGTGTACGAAAACGAGCTCGACGAGTTAAGTTACGGAAGGAGGATAATCCGGCTTCGGAGCCGCTATTGTGCCAGCCATATCGACGAGATTAAAGGCGACGTAGAGTGCTAACAAGAATTGTGAAATAGATCCAGAAGGTGAGTGTGATACGGAGGTTCGTATCGTATCGTATCGTATCGTATCGTATTGTATTGTGCCGTCTTGTCTTGTTTCGTTGTGTGCGCGCATGTGTGTACCGTATGTGACGCGCGCGCGTGTGCGTTCGTTCATTCGTACGCGAATTGTTTGCGCGACGAATGTCGCGCATTGGATCAACATCTGGTGCGCGACGTTGGAGAACAGGCAATATTTCTTCCCGATCGTTCCGAAGGAAATGAATAGCCGTGAAATGGGAATAATATCGACTCGCGTGAGCGCGAGTTTTCAACTGCGTGATTTGTTCTGTGAGAGGAGGGAAACAAAGAGAGAGAGAGAGAGAAAGAGAGAAGATAAAACAAAAAAAAAAAACGGACGGCACTGATGACGATAGAGAAACGTGCGGCGATTTCCATGAAACGCGAGACAGGCGCGCGATAAAAATCGAGGCGCGGGGAGGAGTGACGCGATAAGAAAAATCACGACGCAACGCATCCGTGTCGATTCCTAACGAGCTTCGAACAGTTTGCCCCTTGAACGGAGAAAAAGCGTAAATAGAAGATGGGAGGGGTGGAGAGGGGTAGACGATAACAAGTGAGAGGAAACTCACACCTCATGCTCGTTTTAATACTCCCTATTTTTTTTTTTTAGTTCTTGTTTTCTATTTTTTATTTAAGCACGCACTTCAGAAAAGAGTAACTACAACGCGCTCATCTATCATTAAATCGAAATATAGATCCGCAGTAGAGTTACGTATTGACAGGTGATATAAATAATAACGTTGCCAAATTCCCCGCTTTTTGATACGCTACATGGGACCACTGTAAACACGCGTGTTCGACATGTTTTCAACCACGTGTATCGTACGAGCTCGCAGTAATCCTTAGAGATCAATGAAAAATAGAAATTCCTAATCCTGTTTGTTATTAAAGGAATACTTCGAACTCTTGTTTGTTCAGTGTATAAATATAAATATTATATTATGTCGAGCACGTATGTTTATAACGTTTCGAGCGAATCAAAACAAAGTAGTGACGAAAACAATTTTATTATTCTGAAATACGAGGTCTTTTCTATATAATTTGTCATCATTCAAGAAACATAAAGATATTATGTAGGAAATATCTCAAGGATTTATTTAATATATTTTTAACATTTCTTAAGTGAATTAAAATGAATAGTGACAAAAACAATTCTATTGCACCAAAATGCATACGGTATATCTTATCTTTTTTATATTATCCCAAAAAAAATACGAAAAATAGTTGTGATAATGCTAAAAACAGAATTAGATTACGTTTAAAATTAATAATAATAAATATCAAAAGTTTCGTATATAATAATGTAAACTATTGTAATATTAATATAATTATGTGAGTATTATATTAACTTAATTTTAACTTAATTTATTTTCTTTCTTGCTATAAATACAGTATTTTTGTTATTACATAATTGTTAATTATAATTATCTTATGATGCATAATTACTTAACAGTATAATTTTACTTAACTCCATTATTTTTTATTAGAGATTTAATTTATACGAAATAAATCTAAGGGTAAAAGATTATTGTTTTTGCTACACACAAAAAAGTCGCGTGTATGCTTATATTCTGTGATTAGCCGGTTAATATATTTGAACATCTAAAGATATTATATGAGGTAAAGTCCCCGTACAATCGAAAATATAAGGAAGCTTGTGTAACCTTGTACAAGCTATTACACATCACATAACTTGGAAAATTGAAGAGAAAGTTATTTTAACAAAAGTCAAGTCAGTCCTTATCTCTAATGTTTGTTCCCTGTTACTTATATTTTCGATTGTACGGGGGCCTTTAAGACCATCTTTGCATCAAATCTTTGTATTCTTTGTATCAAATCCGCTTAAAATGTTGATAAAAAAAAGTGTCGTTGCTCACGTACGAAAACGAGATTAATATGTTGGCACTAATTGCGTGAAATTATGATTATCTATTTATTGTATTTATTTTTGCTTTCTTTATCTCAGTAAAATATGCTAATAATATAGGAGTACGCGAATAAAATTACTATATCAATCAATTGAATTTTACACTTAATTAAGTATTTATAAGCCAGCATTGAAATTTAAATGTAGATAATACGCATGAGTGATTTCCTAAATCAAATTACTATAACGTTTTATAATGAAACTAGAAGTACGTCCAAATTAAAACCAAATTAAAATGTAATGGCGAGATTTTCCATTATCCAATTAGAATTAGAAATGTCAATTTTTTCGATGGATCAAACAGAGAAATGTTAGGAATATCGTCTCCAAGAATCGATATTAAAATCAAATTTAAATTTTATTCACACACATTGATATTGTTGGCTATATATTTTATTGTAAATTACTTATATTTTATTTTGTATTATTTTGAAATTGCTTATCGTTTTCTATGATTATTTTTAAGCGAAATATTTGTATGCGTGAGAAGATGCCTATCACGTCTCCCCCTCCCCTCGTAATGTTGTTCATATAAATATATATATTCATTTTTAATTAGAAAGTCCGAAAACTAAGCAAAGTACGTGCGACGTTCATAAACGAACGGATAAGGCATTTGACTTCGCTCTGTGATACAATCAGCTCGAGAGGGTCAAAGGGTATTAACATTTCATAGATAGCAAGAAGTACCAGCATATTACAGAATAGAATTCAAAAACTGGTTTTGTTTTTTTTGTATTTTAAAATTTGTTGCTTCCTTTATATTTAACAACTAATCGCGTGATGAATTGATTCTGTGGTAACTTAATAATAAGAGAAATAATTTAATTATTTTTATGTACTTTTAAAAAAATGTTGAATCAAATATAATGTGTATTTTCGGGCATGAAAATGTAGAGATTGTTATTTTGAGCTAAAATAAATAGTTAAACGGATTCTACTAGATAATGGATAGAGCATGTTTTCCCATTAGTCAGTCATTACGTGAATCTACAACAAACAAATCTTATATTTGCCTTGTATTTGTCTTGTATTTGCACTGACGAAAATTGAAATCCCAACATCAAGAAGGAGTTTATATATAATATAAAAATATATATATATATATAAATAAATAAATAATATATATATATATAATAATAAAAAAACGTAATAAAAATAAATACTTATTAAACAAACATTCTGTGTAATTTTCATTCACCCAGTATAACTCCTTCTTGGTGTTGGAATTTCAATTTTCGTCAGTATATTGCATAATCATAATTCAGCAATGCAAAATCGAAATCGGTTTACTTGAAATATGTATATTAGAGCATGAAATTAACACAGAGAATACGTCCCGTTTGCACGTCGGATTTTTACGAAAAATGTTCGAGTTTCATCTAAAAAAAAAAAAAACTATTTTAAAATAAAAGAATGTTTATTTTTTATAGGGAAATTATAGTTAGGTTTATCAGATAAAAATAGCACAAAAAATATTTGTTATCCAATATTAACCGAATCATTGTTTGATCGCGTTCATCTGTACGTGGGACACGTCGTTGCGCTGAATTGTCTCGGCTGCGTTTAATTTTAGCCGGCATATAGTAGTATAGTTGAAAGAAGAGTCACTGACCATTGAGAATTAATTCCGTCGAATTTCCAACTGTTTATGAAAATCGATATTACGACTGTTTAAGACCAGTTATGCGTTTTCGATGATAATACGGTCATTCAACCGAGAGGCGGGGATCCGATTACTTCCCGCACGTGCTATCGCGAAATTAATTACGTATCGACAGGAAGCCAATCGAGACTCATACTTCACGGCATGAAAGCGAAGAAAACAGCTAATTGACAAATGTTTCATTATATTATATCGTAATGAAAATTAAAATTCTTTTACGCAATTTTTATTTCACACGCACATAATTGCACATGCCACCAAATATGTATGTGTGTTACTTATCATATTCATAATCCATCGTATAATTTACTTGATACATCAAAGAGAATTTAAACTTTGCTGAGTAATGTTATCGTCAAAGAGTTAGCATCGAAATATGAATATTACGTGATTTACATAACGTGTTTAGTCATACTGAATTTTTATAGCTAAGAATCGTCAAAGAGTTAGCATCGAAATATGAATATTTACGTGTCGTTTATAACTTTGAAAAATATATGTATAAGCTTGTATACCACAATATTAATTCCACAATATTGATTTACATAACGTGTTTAGTCATACTGAATTTTTATAGCTAAGACAGGCATACACACACAATATCTCTCCCCCCCCCCTCTCTCCCTCTCTCTCTTCCTTTTAGTAGCACTTAAATATGATATACTTAGAAAAAAAAAGATGCATTATGAACTAAGTTTATCATAGGCTCGATAACTGGGACTTGTTGTGTCTATCGCGAACCTTTCTTCTATAATGTAGACTGTGCTGTGCGCTGATTTCTTGAAACGGGGTCGTCTAATCCTGCCACATTTTACTTCAACAACCCCCTTTTAAATCACAAAACGTAAATCAGATATAGTCGAATCTATCGATTGAATTTCACGAATCTGCCATCATAATTGTTCCAAAAAAATAATCGGCAAATTATAAAATTTTGAGCGAATAGTGAGATAAAAATACTTAATTTTCTAAATCATAGAAATTTTTAAATTAACATTTATCTTATTGTTATCGGTTGCTCAAATATATTATTTGTGCGTGAATTAAATATACGCAATGTGGCTTAAGTGGAAAGATATTTCTTTAAAAATTCGGTTTTACCAGGCTATGTTAACTTATTTCATACTCGTTTCATTTCTAAAACGATCGAGAACGTCTGGTAAACACACAAAATAAACATACTAGCGTATTGATTATGAGATTCGAAAGGACCAATCGTATTCGCAGGGGATCGAAGATGCAGGCGGAATTGATCTATCGAAAGCCGTCGATGACGAGCCAGGGCGGTTTTCATCGTACTGGCAACGATAATAAACGGGAAAATAACGGGGGACGAGACTCGCGCGAAACCATACATTCGGGCCACTTTATGGTGTCGGACTTTGAGGCTGAGGCGCAGGACGATGAGGACGATCTTGCTGTGCCAGTGCCGGACCAAGAGGAGACGCAGACCACTAGCTTCTCGATCATCGCATCGCCCGGCTTTTTTCACGACAGATTTGCGAACAGCAGCCTGTCGTACATCAGGAGCTCCTCCCAGCAGTTGAGCATCGAAACGTCCTTGAACAAGCTTTTCCAGTGCATGTCTCTCGCCTACAGGTGAGTTCCTCCTTTTCTCCGGTAATTTTTGACGGCTACTGATCGAAATAACAATAATATAATTGTAAGATAAAGTCTATGTTGAATGATTTAGTATATAATAGAGAAGTTTGTTTTCTCAAACCGTCTTAAATTCTTAATTTTTTTCTAAATGAGAGAGAATTATATATTATAAAACTATGCAAAAACTTAATTCTTTAATTTTATACATAAATAAAATTAAGAATTATATAAAACTTTCTTGAAAATTGTTGAAACATTTTTCACTCGTTTTACAAATGTAAATTATTTGCATCGCATACATATAATTTCAGAATTATTTATTATATCCTTATATATAATGGATATTTATATGATTATATTTTGTTTGTAAATAAGCTTTATAAGTTACGCGAATTTCTCTTTCCTTCTCAATTCATCTTCATTTTGAATCTTTTACATTAATATCAATATTACGAATTCGATATATAAAATTAAAGTATTATTGAATCTGCGATGTTACAAGCTTCAAAAAATAAAACGAAAGAGTCGAATTAGTTGAATCTTTCCCGTTTTTCTCAAAATAAGAAACGTGATAACTTTTCAGTTCCCCTTTTAAACAACGCATTTAAATGTTATACGAGATCAGAGATACGGGGAACGATACTTCGTTCAAAGACACGTTCGAGTCATCTGATCGATTTCATGATCAAAATGTTCTTTTTGCACTTTCTCTTTTCTGAATACAAATCTGTTTGTCCCTTTTTTTCTTTTTTTTTTACGTACTTCTTTTCTTAGATAAGAAGATATACCTCTATAAGACGAACAAATCTTACATTCATAAGATGATTTTTTTTCGAAGAAAAATATTTTTGCTCTGATAGTAAAGAGTTGCTTCGCGACGTGTTTTTCTCGCGCTAGGCAACCGGACAAATGCTCTACCGGTTCTAGACTGACTAGTAGCATTCCCGTTGATAAAAGACAATTGAATTAATGAAAGAGAGGCCGTAGAAATCAAACGACAACATCGCAATTAAGCGTGGCCTCGCTGAAGTCGTGCGCAGACAACGGAGAGCACGGCTTCTGCCGACAATTTCCGTTTTTCCCTGCGAGTGTGTTTCCCGTTACCGTAAACAATTTAAAGTTAACGGGTTTAGCTGTAATCCTATTGTATATGTCCCATTTTATTAAAATTATAAATTTGAAAGAAAACGGAGAGTTGATTAACTCAGTTAACTCTAATCTTTATTGATGAAAAATAGTTCTATAAAAATGATAGATATATAGATAGAGACATGTGAAGGAAATTAACATGCACATTGAGAAATGCAATTTTATGATATAAAAAATTCACACAGCGCAAAAGAATAATATACATCAGTCACGCATATATATATGATATATATATATATATATATATATATATATATATATATAATCCGGCGTTACGTTTACGCCAGGAATTAATGTCGAACTCGTCGAACTCGGCGTATATATCTTACACGCTGATATATTGGGTATATACGATGACATTACAGTTGATCAGCTTACTGTGGCGTGCATGCAACAAAAATTGCTGTAATTATATGCAGTTTTAACGGTGCCTATTGTAACCGCATGCAAAGTCTCAATAACCTAGATAAATTCTTAATAAGAAAAACATTAATCGGGTTAGTTATTTTGCGATCAAATTAAAATCATACCAAATCAACTTTTTCTAATTAATATTTGTCAAGTATGGATTGTTCTCTTCAAAAAATAGTAAAGTAATTCGATGTTGAATATATGAATAAATGAAACATAAGATTTGTTTTTTCATATATTTCCATAACTTATTTTCGACAATATAATAATAGAAAAGTTTAATATATGTATACTCTATTAAAATATGTAAAATTTAAAATAATTATTTTTTTTCTATATGATATATATTATTTAGTTTGTCACGTGTAACATCTAATGCAATTTGATATCATATAAATTTGCAAGTCATTATTGTTAAGGGAGCAGACATAATCATCTGAAGATAACATCAATAACATAATTTAGATATATTGATATCATAATACAATATAATTTCGATCAATTCCCTGGTAAATCTAACATCGATATCAGGCTGCATAGTATCGATTTCTGTCTTCGATGTCTTGACAAACATGAGGCCAAATTAATGATATCTTTGGCAACCCTGGAAAATACGTTATATCAATCGATCTCGTTGAAACTCATCGCGTTATTGGGGCGATAAAATTTTGAAGAAATAGGCTTCATCGTCGTGATAATGATGCAATGTCGTGATGTAAACGACCGCAATAACAATATCGTAAATCGGATCAACAAGCGCATTACGATAAATTATTTCTGCTATTCTAAAATAACGAATGACAACATGATATTCCAGCTTGCGCGATTTATAAGATAAGACTTTTTGTTTGTCGCTTATATAATGAATTAACTTCATTACGAATTCGTTTTACTTCAAGCAAATTTTTCATTAATAAAATTTAAATTTAACGCGATGTCAAGATTTGACATGGTTTGCAAGATGTTTAATGTTGTAAATTAAAAACATACGAGAAAAAATATTGATTTATTTGATTCATTTAATGAATTTTTTACAGTCGTAAATAATTTTGAATATAAAATAATTCAAGTTCTCGAACGAAGAAAAAATTTTCTTAAAATGAAAAATAGCTTTATCCAGGCATGTGAGTGAATAGTTTTCTAATATAAAATCTCGATTTTTTTGTTCTCATATATATGGATTTGAATAACGAGATGTTGATTTAATCGAAATCTAGGTTGGGCATTACATCGCAGTAAAAGGATGAATAAAGCGATTAAAGATTAGTTTGCACAGTAATAGTAATATCAGTTGAAATGTATCTCTGTTGGTGTTCTTGTCGTAATAATATTACTATTTTGATGCGGAATTTACAGTGAAGTTAGATAAGTAATTTCGGTAGTTTTTGTCAAGTACGCTAATCATTTTTCGTCTTATATTACACAATGACATCATCTTACAGTACCAACCAGCGGTTTCCGTAAGTAATATATTCTCGCAAATAGCCTGTCATACAAAATTGATTCGGATGTAAATTTAATTCTTTTTTGATTACAATTATTACTCGGAAGATCTTGATATTGATTAAAATTTTATTTCGCTTATTATACATGCATTAAAAAATCATATAATGAATTGTATATATATAAAACAAGCAACTATATATTATGTCTGTGCACATCATTTATGTAATTTTCTAAAATGCTTACGTTCTAACTGATTTATCATGCAAGAAAAATAAGAAATAATCATATTCACAGTGCAACAATCGCGAATTGAAGTTTATACTTTACGCGCATCAGCATTCTATAGAAGCAGATAACGCATCTTAATAAATACTCGATGTCGTATTTTATCTCATTTATTCACAAGTTCATATTTATTTATTTCTACAAATTATAAAATACAGACTATTAAATCTCTGCCATCATTTCATAAAAAAACTATCGATTATTTATCAGTGTCTGTTAAATTGCGCAACCAAAATTTTGAATCTACTGTTTATAAAAAAATTATATTTATATTAAGCTATTGAAATTAAAATATATTGAAATTATTTATATATATATATATATATATATATATGTATATATAATTTATATTGTACATTTAATGCTAAATATGTGTCTGATATTTTATATAATAATTAATTAACACTCTATTAGTTAAAGAGATGAGACATGGCTAAGAAAAATTTAATTAAGCGAAGAAAAGTCGCGCTTTGTTTCGCGCGAAGAAACCTTTAATAGATTTTATCGATAATTTTGATTAAACGTCGAGGACGGTGTAACATCTTGGTAGCCCGTTCGGGCGCGCCGCGAATGAGTTTGAAGAAACCTAATTTTCAAGATAATCGACAAGTGATAAGAGCCTCGAGGGAACAGACACGCCGTTTCTCCGCAATGCTTGTTGAGCCACTTACAGCTAGATGAAAATATTGCGATACGCGGCAAGATGTTATCGCGGCGGGTGCCGCAAATATTTTCTAAATTCATTAAAGGACTTCGTCACCCTCTTGTGCCTAAACGATAATTCTATATTAAAGATAAATTTTATTCCCTTCCATGACTAACGAAAATAATTGATAAGACGCGAGAGAAAATGTTTATATTGTAGAGAAACGTAACAATAATGTACACACGTAGATTCTAAATACAAGAATATTATTATATCTGTAAATATAAGAATAATATCAGTGTGAGAGAGAGAGAGAAACAATTATATAAACATAACAACGCGCACGTTATGCATCTTGTTATCATTCGCACGGCGAGATTCGAGCGAAAAGGTAGTCACGCGAGTCGTTCCGTCTTGAAATGATTATTATCGTCGTATTATCTCTCGAAATACAAATACTAAAATCATGCCAAACGCGAACATTTCCTACAATTATTACAATTAGCGATTTTCAACCTGCGTGATTAATTAATTTTTGCAATTATTGCGTCTTAACTAGCCATTAATTCGATTCACGTAGATATCATATCGCACGATATATCAGAGCAAAATTACCGATGATATCATTGAATTTCTCGGTCTTTAATCGGCCAAAACATTGCGGATACATTCCAATGAATCGATTCCAAGTCGAGCGACGCATTTGATTAGTAAACAGAATCATATTTAACCGTATATATTGTAATATTTTTTAACACAACGTAGTAAAAATTTGGCGTTTATATAACGATGATTTTCATTAAAACGCGTATTTCACGAGATTTACCACGCAAATAGCCAGCAATATATTTTCGGATATTGCATCCACAGATATTTATCTTTAATTTTAACTCGTTTATTTATATTCATGTTTAATACAAGAATATATATATATATATATATCAGTAAAAAATAGAGATGTGTATTAGAATTACATTAAAGAATTATTTAATTTTTAGAATGTGCATATAAATTATTACTTAAAAGCTGTAGTGTCTCAGAAAGTATTTATATATTTTTTGAGCTTTTTACAAGAGAAAATTTATGTTTATTAATAATTTATAAAAATTTATCTATTTTTATTATTGTATGTATATAATTTTAAATCTCTATAAAAAAAAAAGTTATTCTCAAATTATTAATAGTAACAAAGAATCATACGAATGGTAAAACGGATTTTATCATTTCCTATGATGTCTTAAACAACGCAATATATTGTACATTGGACAATATAAATTCTACATTTGACAAAATAAAAAATTAGGTAATTAAAAAATATTTTTGATCGCAGTATTACATTTGAAAGAAAATGGACGTTTACGTCGTCAACTCGATTTTTACGAGATCAACGGCGTGCACGTTGGCTGTTTGTTCCTACATTTTATGCTGCATAATACATGTTAAATGCACGTCATATTATTGAATTAATCGTGAGATTCACCCCGCGATAGTGACGTGGAATAAGAGTATCGACGTGTTCGATAAAGACCTTCGCTGAGTTACCGCACTACGGAAAGTAAAATCTATCAGATGCAGTTTCTCTGGCAAAATTTATGATGCAATTTGAATGTGCGTTATAAGTTGAAAAAAATTACTTTTTATTAAAGAATTTTTGTGATTGTAATACTTGACGGTACTGTATGTAAGACAGACTTGCCGCTTTTATTAGACCATCTCGGATTGCTGACGTAAATCATAAACTTCAATTTGCGATCGTTGCATAGAACGTAAATATTTTTTATTCGATGACTTGAGCGAATAATTTGTTCACATACCAATAAAATATTACTCATTGTCAAATTAAGCCGAGTCATTATATTATAATTTCAGTAACATACATAATTTTATTACTACAATCGAATACATCGATGAATTAATGAAATTTTCAATTTATATCCTGATTTGTTCTAAATTGTACATTCATCTGAATTTCTTTTTCTAAGCACAAAAATATGCTTTATGGTCACTCGCGTAAGTTTCATATCATATCACAGTGAACGTATCTTCAATTTTTCCTTACGTAAGCGCTATCTGCGTATCACGAGAAAGTTTGCTTTCTTGCATGCTATCACTTTACGCCTTAAATCAGCATATTGAGATATCTCAAGTCCATCTTTGCGGTTGCAGTTAATCAAATTCATATTAAAAGTGATGACAGCTGCTTGAAAATTAAAAATCGATGGTTTCTCAATCAGAAATGATACGTAATTATAAACATATAACTTTTATGAAGAATCAAAATGCAATATAATACAAACGAATAATGAAATCATGCTTTCCAGCAGATAAACTTTATTTCGATTTTATTAAATGCTTCGGTGCATAAAATCTTTTCTCGCATGTAACATTAGAAACTGTATACTTGACGGGATTAATATCGACTTCGAGAAAGAGAAAGAGGAGAGATCGTCGTCCTAATCGCGCCGGGTGCATCGCTTTCGCGTGCGACGAATCGCGAAAATGCGAATCATGCTAAATTACCGTAAAAGCTCTCCTCTTGTCAATGTGTCGCTCATAACGTGTCTTTTATCGACACAAGGCCACTGCGTCATCACGACGCCTTACATTCGTAGTAGGTACGTTACGCCGGCAACGTAACACCTCCGTACGACGCGCGACAAGCAACAAGCAAGACGCGTGCGAGGCCGAGAATCCGCGCGAGTCGAGTCGAGAGGCTCGCCCACTGATCCAATCGGTGGCCGGAATCTATTTCCGTTCCCTGGCTATTCGGCCCCGTATATTTACAGTACTCGATAACATTGCACGGAAACCATTTATCATTCGATTGCTCTAGTCAAGGAAAATGCTGGGCATTTTCACACGATATATCGGAGTATCCTTTGCGTTTCCATTATTTCTTCTAATGAATTATGTAATAAATGATTTTTTTTAACTCTAAATTGTTTAATCAACTTGAAAGAAATTTAATATATTAAATTCTAATTTAAATCTAGAATATTGTTTTATAGAAGTTTAATATTACATATTTTTACAAGATTAACACGAAAAGATTTAATTTAATAATTTAATAATTAAAATTATAAATCTATATATATGTGAAATTAATTTACTCTTCAAATTTATGTGAAATTATGTTCCAAATGTTTAAAACATCCTGTATAACGAGAGATCCGGGATAGACGATGTTACGAAGACACGACGAATTTAGTTTCCACGGTGTGATCTTTGCTCTCTTCTTATAACTCAGATAATTAAAACCGCGAAGAGCTTAAAATAAGAGCGATATTGAGGGATTCGTCGTGGCTCGTGGCGCTTATCGAAGCGAGCGACTGGAATTTCTTTTGTTCATTCTATACGCTATTTGTGTTTCGTTAACTTTTTTAATTTTTTTTTTTGAAAATTGTTTTACAAACGCGATGCGTTATCTGTTTTGTCGCACTATTAAGTCGCTTGACAATATGATAATAAAATCGCGACTGCGCTTTGTGATGGTAATGGCAATCCGAGTCGCATATCGCGCAGCAAACAAATAAATCATTATCTGATAATGAGATTCTTTAGCACTATGTTTCATTAAAACTGTGAAAAAAGGAAAAGGGGACAAGTACCCGATAACTTGGCGTTTCAGACACGCAGAATTTATTCGACCATTATGAGAAGAGATTTTATGCTAATTATTTAACTAAACTTAACTAATAAAAAATAATAAACTCCGCGGAACTTAAAACTCTTGAAAAACAGTAAGAATCTATGTTTATTATTATGATTTCTACAACTTATATTTATGCAACTTTTAATCGGTATATTAATAAATGAACAGTGGAGTTATTATTAACAAAAATCGTTTTAAATAAAAAGATTTATTCTATACAAAATGTGAAATACACTAATAATTTTATACAATCTTTGCTGTAATTTTAAACAACAAAAATCCAATTTTACTTCTTTATTGCTTTAAATATATGAGAGAAAGAATATTACATATGATTACAACTTTATCTTATGCAGCATATTTTTACATGACTAATTATATTTTATATAATTACAACAGAAATATATCCAATAATTTCGTACAATATTCTTTTTATTTTTTGATTCTGTTGAAACAAGACAATCAGATTATAAAAATTCCAGACGGAAACGATAACTTGATTTGTCAAAGCGATTTCTTTCCTCAGCTATGCTTCTCGACCCGTTATAGCTTATCTAATCACGCACACACAATTAGAAAAATGAAAATGGCTATAACTCGGAAAGAAGAATTGACCAAGCAGGGTCTAATGCCAAGGAGAAGAACCATCGTCTGTCACGAGATACGAGTAAATGTGGAAATCTTCCGACTACAGATATTTTCTTACTGTTGACTCTTCGTTGGTGATATATCGACGAACGAAGCGATAACGAAAAGTTCGCCTCGTGATTATGGCCACATTCAGAAATTAAAAATAAACGCGTTTCTCTGCCTAAATTCAATAGTGTATTAATATGTTCTGATATCTACCACGTGAAAAATTACTTATTAATAAAAAGGATATTTAAATATCTCTATTATTATTTTATTATATTACTGGTGATCCTCTGTATTATACATTTATTTCTTATTCATATCTATGTAGAATTGTAGAACATTAAAAATTACGAATTACAAACGCGAATAAAAACTTTAACCTCAAGTAATTTTACAAATAAACAAGATAAAACTTAATAAAGAGATTAAGAATTATATATTGATGGTAATAATATTTATGTTTTATGATGAGAAATATATTCGTATTGGAATATTTCAACTTTATGGAAGATTTCAAAGAAAGTTGTGATTTTAAAGAATGTTTTTAATTATATTAAAGTTAAATAATTAATGAAATACCAGAGAATAAAAATACTACACATAAATGCGTGGTTTGTTAAACTTCTGTGTGGAAATTTACTAGACTCTCTCTCTAACTGCGTCTCGCAAAACTCGCATAAAGCAAATGGTCTTTTCCTGCGATAGAGCAATTGCTGATAAATTTGTCGAAATCACTCGTTTATTGACAAAACAAAATTATTGCGCTTTTATTCAAAATTACTACGATCCATATTGTGTAAAAGGAAATTATACTTAAAAATTGTTATAAAATTTATGAAACATGCAATATTTTTCTCTGAACACTTAGACAAACATCGCAAATATATTCTTTAATTAATTCGCAGTCTATTTTTCTAGAAAAAATTTGTCTAAAGTGTTAATACAATTTTATTTTTTATTTAACTACAAGTAAATTTTTATTAACAAAGTTTTATTTTAAAGATTAGTTACATTAAAATATTCAATGTATTAAAAATTAAAATATGTTGTAAAAAAATGAAATATAATCAAATTTTCGATAAGAAAAAATCCAAAATTTTTTTGGATTAAAAAATACACCTGCGATATTTATTCTTTAAATGACATTCTATACATAAAAATGAAATAATTATATGAAATAGTGAATATGGAAAATTATCTTTAATTAATTATACAGAATTCGAATCTATAGTTCCCACAGTGGGTATGACGTATGGCCATTTGGATTTGTTCCAGACAGAAGTTGACATCGCCCAAGTGGAATCGATTTAAAGGTATCAGATTGAGGTGGAAGGACAAGATCAGATTAAATAACGTGATCTGGAGATGCTGGCACATGCAATGTAAGAAAAAAAGAACATTAATATATTAACATTAATATATAATTTAATATAATCATTAGTTGATAGATATATACCTTTAAGATAATCAGCGAAATTAAAATATCTCTTTTATTTAATTATCATTTATCGAGGAAATGTATTTAGTTTGCCTTATCGACAGAATATTGTAATGATAATCTTTACAAGCTTGCTAATCTTTACAAGCTTGTTTCATTATTCTTTTCGAGCTATCTTCACATTCACAAGCTTAATCCTAATCTTCATCGTATATATTCTCAATCAAAATGCTATAAATCGAATCAATATCTAAAAGGGCTTTTATGTTTAGATATTATACTGTTCATAGTTGAAGCGTTTTATGCAAGAAAGAAATAAATTCATAATTCATGAGATTTATTTTAAATGCAACTTCGTATTTAAAATGGATTGACGGATTATGAATATATTTCATTCTTTTATATTTAGAGTGAGACTTGGAAATTTTGAATTTGTATCGTGAAGCCTACCGTTTCTCTTTAGCCAAAACACCTCAATTTCAATCTGCTTCGGTTCATTGACAGTTCAATTACTGTGATAATCCTACAAAGTCCTTTTTATTCAAATTGATATAGTTGTCTTGCTATTCTTCAAATGTATGTGACCGAATAAATAATTATCCGTCTATTTAAAGAGCTCCATCTCCGCGTGCTACATTTGCACTAATAGTACTCATCGTGTTCATCTGGCTTACATCCAACTTATCATTACGAGCTGCGGTAGCGCGTTTTATGTGTACACACGTTTCTTAAACTTAATCAACTAATCAATTCATTCGACGAACTCGAAAGATAGCTTGGAATGAAGTACCGAGATAAGAAAATAATCTATAGAATCGAAGAAAAAAAGCAAAACGCGTGCTTTTGCGTTTGTAAAAACTAGTTATAAAATTACACTAAAACTATTGAAACTATTAAAATTATGCGAAAAAAATAATGAAAGAGAAAATATGATCGAATTACATACATTTTTAAGTATCTGTGTTTTAATTATTTAAGAAATTTCTTAAATTGATACACATCTGTATTTGTTACATAAAGCGACGATAGTAAATGTATATTTGTTATAAACCATAATTGTGTCTCGTATCATAATTTTTTTAGATTATCACCGACATATGACACGTTAATATAATCGTAGTATAACCGTGGCATTAAGTACGGCAATTGAAGTAAATTGCGCGAAATTTGATTTTTTATTTTACATTTATTTAAATTAAAATATTTACAATTATTATAGATAATAATTTTTTCAAGTAGCTTTAAGAGAGTAAAACAGACGTAAAAAAATATCTTCGCATATTAATAAATGCAAAAATTCAATATATGTATTATAATATTTGAAGGTTTGTGAAGGTAAAAGATCATATTTAATGAAATAATTTTTTTCTTTTTCAGTTATATTAAAGCAAAATACGCTGGTATGCCAGTTTGCGTCGCCACTTGACGTTGATACTCATAATAAGCCTGAGGTATGTTTTTTACATCTAATCTCAAAATTTCGATGATATATTACATTTTTATACGTAAAACGTACAACTAATCATATTATACAAAATTGTTTTGTGTGATAATTGTAAAAAAAATTATGCTTGTAATGTTCTATAATAATTATTCGATTATTTCTGTGATATCAGTAACAGATCAAACATCGTGCATATCAATATTAATGATTACTAAATAGCCGCAATTTGTATTATTCGAATTTTTACTAATTACGTAATTGGAAAGTATCTTTATCGCAATTGGCGGCAGCTCGTTTGATTAGATAATTGCGTTGTAGCAGTGATAATTCCTTGAAATGTCGCTGGCAAGTCACATTTCACGCAGCCTCGCGCAATCGAAGAAGTTAGAAAATCCGAATAAGCTCGTGAAGTAGTAAAAGTTGTTTTTTTATGTCTAACAATAAGAACTACGCTTAGTGTGAGCGTGAATCAACGGCATATCTCTTTATCAGGCGGTGGTCTTAGAGGGAAAATACTGGAAACGAAAGCTTGCAGCCGTTACAGCTGAATACAAGAAATGGCGTATGTTCTACCGAAACAAGATCCTTGGCTGGACGAGCAAGGATGGCACAGAAATGGTATGTAATATTATATTTTAAAAATATATATAACGAAAAGCTGATATTTAAAAGGATATTAAATATCTCCGTTCTTTTGTGGGAAAAAGACATGGAATAATAATTAACATACAAACAAATTATATCTAAAATGGGAATACTTAAGTTTAAAAGGATAATCATTATGGTAATCGAGAAAAAATTTGGAAGGATAACTACTATGATAATAGGGAAAAAGCTCTAAAAATTCTTGTTTTCGAGATTTCAATCCAAACTTTTCTTTTAATAGATATTGAAATAAATTCTTTTTTATTTGTCTCTCTCATTTTTCACTTATATTTTTTAAATACGCGCAAAATAATAATGTTTGGAAAAAAATAGAAAGATGCTTCCCCGTTTTTCATAAAACAACAAGTATACATATAATACATAATACGAAACTTGGTTTAGATGGAATCAATGGACATGCTAGATTGGGGCAATGGAGGCGAAACCACCGGTAATTTCGGAACGAGTATAGGGCATGTATTCGGTGGTACCGGCGGAACTCCAAGCGGGGAGAGTATGATGGTTGATGAGGATTATATGGAATTGATGACTGACACCCTCTTTTCAACCATCAGCTCAAATCAACCAATATATTTCCCCGATCCTAGAGAAATAGGTAATTCTCAATTTTTGTAAATAGTAAATTTTTTTGTAATTTTCAAGATTTTTGCTTGTATGCAAATCTTAACTTCGGAGAATCGTATTTCCCGTTATTAAAAAAATAATATTCTTCGGCAAGAATTAATATCAATAATATCTTGATATCGATAAAGGATTTAGTAATTGATTAATAATAAAAAACAATTTTTTCTGTAAAATTTTTGTTATTCTGCACATCATTCTGTATGAGTATTATATAATATGAATTTATAATACGCAAAATGTGATTTGATAGCGCGTGGTGCCAGTTTGGCAGACTTCATGCAACCTAGTCTATGTCCTTTACAACCAACTCTGGATGATTTTATGGACACCTTAGAGCCGTTGCAAGGTAAATAATAATGATGTACATTGATTTTAATATTTCAATTCGAAGAATGTTTCTTACATGTTGCATACTTTTTTTATCTTGATTCAAGAATTCCTAAACTCAAAATTGCCTCCTGTACCCGAGGAGGATGATATGTTTCGGAATAGCAGTTTAAATACTAATTATTCTGATCTGGACTTGATGACACCAATTAATCAGATGAACGAAATAGGAGAAGATCCAACGACGATAAAAAACGAACAAACTTCGCAACAGCAACAACTATCACAGGAAGAGCAAGAGGCTAGTATGCAGAATCTTCAGTACACCGCCAAGATATATACTCAGTCCCAACCTGAATCAGCAAATGTATATAGGAATAACATGTAAGTACGAAACTATTATGACTTTATAAAAATACAATAAGGTCCGATGTTTATAATTCATGAATATATAAATTTTTTATTTAGAACTATGAATGAAGATTATAATGCAATCCAGTCAAACTTCGAATCTACCACAAGTCAATCCGCGCAAGAAAAGAATAGAAATAGTAGAACGACATCATCGAGAAGTAGCCGTATGATACAGCAATCCCAACAGCAACAACAGAATACTTATCAAGTGACAAGGGCGCAACAAGCAAATCCGGGATTCCAACCGCAGTCACAGCAGCCGCAATCTTACGCGATGGAAATTCAGACGGTACAATTAGCATCGGTACCAAGCCAGCCACAAACGGTGCAGATCAGTGCGGCGATAAACGGTCAATCGGCGACAGTTAATTCCAATCAGATATCCTCGATCGCCGCCGTGCAGAATCTAGTGACAGTACAGCATAATTTCGCCGCGCAGGCCGGCAATTCGCCGTTGCAATCCCAGCACCCAGCAATAAGGCCTTTACCGACCACTTCTCCGATGTCTAGTAAGCCTTACAAAATCGTTCAGCCGCAGCAGCAGTGTTATAAGTTTCCAAACCTCGTACAAAATCTCAATGCTCAACAGTGTAAATTTAACACTAATAGCTTCAAGGTAAAACCAAGACACAATACTTGCCGAACATTCATGGCCGCCGAGTTTACAATCGAGACAGAGTTGAAGAGACATGTTTATTTTTCAGACACATCCCACGCAACAAATAGTATCAGTTTCTTCGACGGAACAACCGTCACAGTCGCAGATATTGCTGCAGTGTAGATCTACCGGTTTGGACCTTACTGCGCCCGCTCTGCACCCAACTAAACTACTACCTCAACCGACAACATCCAACGCGGACAAAGAAGAGATTTTTGCCGTACCTAAGGTTCGTATCTCATGCGTATATATAATAATTTATGTATTGGCGATTAAAATATTTTCGAAATGATGCAAGCTAGAAAAAATCGTGTTAAAGAGAATATTAAACTTTTAAATAGTACCATTGTTTTCCAAATGCTTAGAATTGTAATTAGCTCTCGTAATAAATTTTCTAGCTATAAACTCTCGAAATCATTCAATTGTATTGTTTATGCATATAATCGCTACTGAATAAATTAGTTCAGATATATCGGTCGAAAAATGTTCAATTATTGAAAAGATTGTATCGCATTTTTTTAGTACCAAATGAAAGGAAGGAACAGATCACGAAGTAGCTCCTCTTTAACAGCACCCAGGATACATCCTCCACCATTGGTATCTGCAGTGAGCGATCCAGCTCTGAATCTGAATAACAATGTCTTACTTGCACATTTACTTACGAATAGTAGTATGTACTTTCATCATAATGTTATTATATATATAAGAAAAATGTATATATCTTATTAGATCTATATAACGTAACTGCAATTTACACAATGCATCCTCACAATAGTAACCAAATTCAATTAATTATATTAATAAAATGAATATTTGATAAGTGCATTTACTTATCCTCAACCAATGTTATCTTTATGGTAGAAATAACGCAAGTGACGACTGCACAACATATCACAACCCCGGTGACTGTTCAAACAATGCAGACATCTAGCATACAGCAGCAGACGCAAACGCAGCAACAGGTATCAAAAATACCACTCAATTCATATTATATATACAATCCACTCAAATTTATTAAAAATCATTTATTTATATCTTCTTGCAGTCAATGCAACCATCTACAGCCCAACAGATCCTTTTAAATGCAAACAACCAAACGCACCAATCTCAAAATAGTCCTGGTTCACCAAAAGATAGCAGTTCTAATGCGCACAGTCCTCAGGCTTTAAGCCTTAGTCCCTTACACAGTCCCATGAGTATAGGTAGCCCCTTATCGCCCACTCGCGGATACATCAAGGGTGAATCAGAGAGAGGACAGTATAAGGAACAAAGACGTGTCGGCCACATTCATGCGGAACAAAAGCGTAGATATAACATCAAGAACGGTTTTGATATGTTGCACAGTCTGATACCGCAGCTCAGTCAAAATTCAAACGCGAAATTGAGCAAAGCCGCAATGCTGCAGAAAGGAGCAGATTACATCCGGCAGCTCAGAGCAGAGAGAAATCAATTGAAAGAAGAAATGGATAGCCTGAGACATCAGATCGAGTGCCTTAATACATCTATTAGGTATGTTCAGATAATATTAATCTCAATAAATCAGGGAAACAAAAATACTAATTATTTTGGAAATAATGTGTCAAGTAATAACATGCAAAAACGAATATGTTAAACATGTGATTTATCTATATAAATTGGCTAGTCTTGAATGATTTATGATGAAATAATATTCTTGTAGTAATTGTCAATCTATGCTTCCTGCGACGGGTGCTCCAGTTTCTAGACATAGAACCAGCAAAATGAAAGAGATGTTTGATGAATACGTACGTACGCGCACACGAGAAAACTGGAAATTCTGGATTGTATCCTTTTTTTCTTTGACATTGTACCTCAATACGTCAACTCGAAATAAAATGTACAAAATATGTATAAAACTCTAGAGGATTATCTTCTTTATCAAAATAATCAGTTCAGTGCATTGCTAGAACCGCTGATGCTATCTTTCAATGCTTCAGTCTCGACTGCGAGTATCGAAGATTTATATAGAAGTACAATATTGTGGGTAGAGCAACACTGCTCACTCGTCGATCTCAGACCAGGTTTGTATGCAGACATCTAAAAAGATACACATATACTCTATAACATATACTTTTTCGGATGTTTTATTCTACAGAAAAAATAGAAATAAAAAAATAGAATAAAAATAATAGAAATAAAATAATACGAAATAATAAAATAAAGACATACACATGTACAGCAAATGTTTATTTCTTTGTATCTTTCTTGATCAAGGTATCATTTTCAGCTGTTCTGAATTCTCTAAGGAATTTGTGCACTGCCACTGATATTTTATCAGATCCGGCCCGTCTACCCGAGGAAGCACTCGCGGCAGTTAATCGGACGGAACGCCGACGATCCACGCAGTGATCAAGTGCGCAAATTCTTGTTACAATCTGTTTGTATAAAAATGTTCAAGGTTTAGATATATATACGAATGTAAGGGATGATAGTTACCGTATAGCTTAAATTATAGTCTATGCAAAACAAATAATGAAAAAGGTTGTTATTTGATGATAGCAGAAATGCAAACGAAGAAATAAGAGTAAAGGCAATTCCTCTTTTTATTACAATATATTGAAATTATAAAATTTATTACAGAACATACATACATATATACATATATATATATATGTATATATGGATGTACGTATTACACAGTACAGTTATACTAGAATATATACTGACAATGCAATACATTGATATATAACACAATTATTCACAGGCAATTATTTTTTGGTAAGAAATGTTTCGTGTACTTTCTCTCACATCTACTTTGTATAATAATGTTTAAAGTTGCATAAAAAAACGCGATTTTCTCTAATAATAAAAAAAAAATCTTTTTAATATCATTTATAAAATATTTACTTGTAGTAAAGAGAAAGCTACTTACATATTTATATCCAATTGTCCAATAATTAATAATAAATTAATGATAATGATACAGGATAAATATCTACACTGAATTTTTGTATTATGAAGAAACTATTCCACTGCTTTGAGAAATATTCGGTTGATAAAAACGATTGATATGATAAATATAATTATTAAATTGTGGAAATTTAAAATTGTCATTGTGATAATAAAATAATTGGAAGGAAAAACGAGATTTTAGAATTAATAATTATATCTTTTGTTTTAATTGTTATATAAATATATATTATATATTTTATTATATTAATTATATAATATATATCGTTATATATCACAGAATTGATTAAAAATTGTTACACATATTGTAATTATTAAATCACTACAAATTCTACCATGAACAAAAGAAAAGTTTAGACTTAATCCATTTATTTGCGGAATTTGTATGCAATGAAAGTTAAATAACACATTAAAAATAATAGAATCAGTGCCATAAACTAATATCATTTTGATAGATTACAATCAAAGACAATTCAGGAGTTAAAAAAGAGCAATTAGGAAATGACTTGAAGAGTAAGGAGAGATAAAGAAATGCAAATAATTTTCTTAATATAAATTATCAATTATTTGGTAAATATGTTGCTATTAAATTATACTTCAAAACTATACTAGAAGGAGAGATATGTATACTTTATGTGAAATTGATGTAATTACATGGACGATATAAAAAGGGGGTTGGCTCACAAATTATGTTTGCACTGTTATAAATGAGATCTTTATTATGAAAATTCATAATGATGTACAAATCACTTGCAAAAAGTTTGAGTACCGAATATAGTTTAAGCTACAAAGGAGACCTCTGCATATTATATCTTTTTTGTTAATGTAAAATGTATATAATGAAATTTATAATTCCAGGTATGCAAACAAAACTGTTAATAGTTTGAAAGCTAAATTCTTTAATTTGACATTTTATTGTGACTTTCGTTTGCCGTTTTATTTTAGATTGTACAGGATAATTCTTTTTTTTCCTTTTTTTTTTACAAAACAATATGTAGAAGTTCTCTCACACAGACACACACACACACACTCTCTCTCACTCACACTCACACTCACATTGTGTATGTACATGATAAGTGATAAATAATATAAGTGAACTCGTCGAAAAGGGATGTTCTTTTGTACAATATGTATCATAAAGATTCACATGTTATTATTTCAATATTATAACAACATGAAGAAATCTGAACTATTGTATTTCATTTTTTCTATACCTCTCTTTGTATCACATTCATCTCTTAACTGTTATAAATAATAAACATCTTATATATACATATACGGCCATTGAAACATACTCCTGAATCAGTCATTAAAAATAATTGATTTGAAAACTTTCATGTTACTATCTGATATAATTTGACAATTGATCTTTATTTCTAATTTTAACAAAAATATATAAAATGTAATAATGCAAATGTAAATTTAATTAACATTTAGGAATTTCTTATAACCAACGTCAGAAAAATTATGATTAGTATTACAAGTGAAGCAAATTATAATTTACAATTGTTAGTCTTTAAACATATTGATGTATCAGTATTTAATGTTCTTGAATAAGTATTGTCCAGCAATTGTGCTTTTACTTTTAAAAATTAATACTGGTAATTAATCTTAAATAATTAACAAATTAATGCTAAAGTAGAACAATCATGACATACCAAATATAAATCGAGATTACGATTGTCAGGTATTATTATGAATGTTGGCACTTTGACACAGTTGAATGTATGCATTTTTATAGTCTCATTAATCAAATGTTTCACTTCTTGCATGGTACGACCAATTAATTTTAGTCCACAAGCTGCACAATTTACACCATTACTTTTTTCTTCTAATATGGCTTTCTGACATATAGGGCAGAACACTTCCCTCTCATTGCTATCAGCATACATTATATAAGATTCAATCTCGTCATGTAAAAATTTATCATATTCTTGAAGTATCCATTCTTCTGCATATAAATTTACAATAATATTAAATACTTTTTGCCAATTTTGTTATTACAATTAGCAAATTATTGATAATTATCACAAATTACTAAAGTATAATATTGATCAAACCTTCTTCATGAACAATTTTATTTTCCAATTCAATCGCCTCTTCTTGACTTAAGGGTTCGTCAATCTCTTTGAATATAAGACTTGCACCACCATCATGTGATGTTGCCAAATTCTTAAATTCTTGACGCATTAGTTCTGTCAATGTATCCTGCATATGTATAGAATCGAGTTGCAAACCAAATCTACGCCTATTGAATAATTGATCCCGCTTTTCTCGCATTCTCTGACGGCACTTCTAAAAACAGATCGAAACAGGATTAGTATCTGCAGCAAACAAAACCAAAGCCTTACAAAAATACAAAAATGTAAATTAAAAAATTATTCTCTTCTAAATAGTTTATTTTAATAATTTTTTTTTCTTTTGCAGATTTATGCAGATTCTGTAATGCCGAAGACTTAACCAAATTGATGTTATTTAAGATAATTTCAACTACGACGGTAAGAAGACGGATATAAGAAATATTTCATGCATGTAAGAACATTGTTTTAAAAATGCATATCTCTGCACTATTTTTTAGCTATCGTTCGAAAATCTTAAAAATAGCACAAAACAATAACACATTAAGTTTCCAACCTCTCGCAACGTCTCCTGTAACTTGGGCGAACCATGTCTGATTTTATTTGCATAATCTCTGTTCTTTAATTTTGATGTCATTGTAAGACTGAGCGCCATGACTTTTACACACCTCTGCGAAATAAAATAAAATTATACAACAAATTTGCTTCTCATCAAGAGAGAAACGTCAAATTCATCTTCGGCGCACTACTAACTACAATATTTCTCACGCATGCGTGATTCTACAAATCTGTTTACAGGATAGTACATCTAGGCTGCGTTCGCAAACATCATCCGTGTGCACACCAGTTCTATCTTTGTTATGTACCAAAAGTTAAACAAAGATAGAACGACGCTTGTGTGCACACGGGTGATATTTCCGAACGCAGCCCTATAGAAATGCGTTCGGAAATCTTACCCCTTCAGAAAATACAATTGACGAAAAACTCGAAAAGCATCGCAATAGTGCGCACGCGACAGTGTCCAAATATATATTTAATAAATTTTAATGTAGCATTATTAAGATATAATTGAATATATATAACCTGAAATCATTGATTTTTTGAATTATTAAGTAATTGAATTGAAATGGCATATTTTTGAAAAAAGCCAAAATTAAAATATAAATAGTAGGAAAAAATTTATATTATACTCTTTAATAAACTTAATTATAAGGTCATGGATGCATTAATAATAGCAATTTTAAAATTTCTGAGTTCTATATATATGGAATACATGTTATTACAAGGTAAGAACGCTAACTGTGCTATCAAATTACTATATAATCATAAATAAACCTATGCGTTTATATATATATATTTTTTTTTCTTATATCTTATATAGAATTCTTTGGGATATTCATGTAATAGAAATTGCATCTAACAATTCGCTTAAGTTTTATTCACATTATGATGGTTTGTCTATATACAGAAAAAACAATGGCGGCAGCAAAGTAAGACGTTGATCTGTTATTTCCAGTTGAAACAACAGCAGATGTTGACTAAACACGTACATATGAATAATATAAGACGTGTTATTCGTACACGTCTTCCTTGTCTGCGACATAACGCACTATATCCTTGGGTTTTAATAACCTCTGCGCATCCATGTCTGGAATTTCGAAACCAAATTCGTCTTCCATCGCCATTATAATTTCCACATGGTCCAAAGAATCTAGACCTAGATCGTCCATAAAATGCGACTCCAAGTTCAGCTAAGAAAAATACAACATATTATTAGGATTTTATTACATGTATGGGCTTCCTGCACAACTGACATGTCTTAAGAATCAAAACTGATTAAGCTGAATATAAAAAAGAGAATAAGTAAATAGTTTGAGAATGATAAATATTTGTGATAACTTTTGATTTTGATAAATATTTTTTTTACCACATTTTTTTTTAATGTGTGATAATCATTATATTCAATTAGCAACAATTAATAATAAAGATAGGATTTATTCACATGTCAGTATATATGCAGACGCCACGATCAAGCGAGGTGTTAACCAACTATTCTTTGTTTTAAGAGCTATTTTTCAAGATATTTCAGCAAATTGTAATGCTATCATGTATGTAGAAAATTATATCAACTATTAATCTCCACATTAAAAAGCTATATGTATTTCAAAAGTCAATATGTTTGCATATATTATATTGAATTTATTGCTCTATTGATTGAATATATTGAGAATATTGATCTCTGGTAGATACCTTCGCGGTTTCAACTTTGTCATAAAGTTTCAGAACCAAGAGCACCCGCTGACTGATAATGTCAAGGGTTAGCGGATCCTTATGACTGTAGTGGCGCACCTGCTTGATGCGTGTGTCCCTTAAGCCCTGTAAAATTTTTCCCATAAAAAAATATTTATATTTATATAACCTTTTCTATAATGCCTTCATTATAAGCAGCCACAGCTTTCAATACACGTTCTTCAATATCCTTAATTGATTTTGGTTTCGCTTTAACATCTTGACAATATCCACGATTGTACTTCACCTGCATTTATCATAATTTAAATAATTTTGGGTTTTTTAATACTTACTTAGAAGATTATTTCATGAAAGAGCCTAATCTGCATATGTATTTTTTTCACTGAATATATAAAACATTTCTTTGTAAATAAAAATCTGATTGCTTATTATTTATCACATATAATAAAATTGTACTAGGATTATTATAAATATAATGACAGAATAAATGAGAATTTGTCAAATAGATTACAATGTGAAAATAATAAAAATCAAATATATAAATTTAATAATAATAAATATTATAAAATTGAACCAAATATTATCCAAATTTGAAATTATTTCAGGACAAGAAATAGTGATTTAACAATGCTATTAGTAAATTGAAGGATTATTTCTAAATTCTAATCTTTCTATAAGTTCTAATCTCCTTCTCTATTTGCATTTTCTAGAATATATATTCTTTCTACAAAATACATGTGCATTTTGATATACACATATATACACGTGTTTATATCTAGATCTATTCTGCATTTTCTTTCAATCTTCTTCTTTTCTTTTTTTGACAATATTCAAGTATATACTTATTCTACTTAAGAACGCAGGAGATGTAACATAATGTAACTGAATAAAACCGATTTTTTTAGACTGCAAGAATTCAAGGAAGCGGACAGGAATCTATCAAACTTCTACAAAATTGCATTAGTGATCGGTCGACGAATCCGATATTCGACGCGACGATTCCGATCAATTCCAACGTCGCTGTATCTCGATAAATACGTCAGGTCTTCAGTTACATAATTTTACAAAACAACGCGCTGCGCAGAGATTCGCGTGGTGGACATTCGGGTATCACGATTCGAGGACGATGTCCGTTACCTGCGGTACGAGTGCGGTTCGCGCGGTGCAGTGCAACAGCCTCTGCTCGTGTCGTATCTGAATAAACGTGCTGCTCGCGCAACGCAACCGACCGCTGATCGAGTTCCTGAGGCAGCCGGCTTTCCTCGTTAATAAACGAGCACACGACAGAGATGCCATTTTCACTTAACGACGAACGAACGAGAAATAACGACGACGGCGGCGACGACGACAACGAAACGTTTCTGCGGTTGGATCTGCTCTGGCAACAATACCGCCACCGCCGCGATCCACCGGATATCCCACAAGTTGCGAATATTCGTAGCACGTAGTGACATCTACTCTCTTTATCATTCTTATCAGCCGAGAAACAGTGACGCGGTAAGTTTTATACATTTTTATTTTGAGACGTCAAAAGTCGTTCTCTGTATAATTATTTTGTGCAATATATGGGCGTGTAATTAGTATCTGAAATAGTATGAAATAAGTATATATAAAAGAGACATAGCATTTTTTATTATAAAAATTATTTATAATCATAAGCCACAGTTTAGTTTTTAAATGTGATGAAGATTAAGAAATTATTAAAAATAAACACAAGTATCTATATTTATATTACTATTATTATAGTATTATTAATCAAACCTGGTTTAAATATCAATATATGCTCGTCATCTATTAAAAAGAAGCAATACAACTCTTTCATAGCATCTTAAATATATCTTTAATATATGGCAATTGCAATTATGTGTAATTATGTATGTACAAACATAAATAGTTATATTGTTTTTATGTATCAGTATGTGTGTGTATTGCATATATGATAACAAGTGAGTATTTCAAAAATACATGCAATATATGTTTCCACAATTATATACTGCCTCGTGTGTTTTTAATCTTCCTCACAAACATCATATGTATTTCATATATAAGGAAAAGTATAACAAAATAACTTTATACAGAATAAAGGAAAATAAAATTATTGATTTAACTGTTGTTTCAATCTATCTAACGTAAGTGGCAGTAGAGTAACGAATTCCTTGGATAATTTTATAAATTCATATTTTTTGAATTCCTCTTGAATATCTGGATGCTTGTCATAATAATTAGCAACAAACGAATAAGCCTCAAGACTCTTTTGTATGTTTTCTATTTTTTGTTCTAAGACGGAAGTTATGATCTTATTATATAATCTTCCAATGTGGAAGTAAGAATATAACGCCTGATATAGTTCGGCGTACGAGAAAGATGCAACGCCATCATTGGATTCTCTCATCTCCAAAGAATTCACGTACAACTGATAATGCTTTATGCTACTTCTCGCCAAGCGTTCGATCTTGGCTACCATCTGATCCGTCGGCTTTTCATTGAGCGCTTGCAAACGATCGATCTTTATATCCAAGATCTCCGAATACGTTTCCGCCAATTCGAGCCAGATTTCTCGACAAATAACTCGATAAAATCGTGGACTTAATCCCTGACTGACTTCCTCCAGACTGTCTATCCGCCTTTTGTGCATCTTTGCTTGCCTGTCTTCGTTCTCTTCGTAGAATGCTAGGTACTTGAATGCTTGAGACATGTCTTGCGCAATACGTGCATAATCCGATGCATGATTCTCAAAACTATAATACAGCTTTGCCTTATTTAGCCACTTCCGAACATTCAAGAACACTGGTTTGGCGTCATCAAAATCCAACAGATATTTATCGGTGATTTCACTGATAATTACTTCCAACTCTGGTTCTAAATCTACGAATTTTGGGTTCTCTATGGTTTCACTCACATGAGGGCTTTTGCAGACTTCATTGGAAACTTCTGCATGCTTTGAATCGTTTGACTCATCCTCCTGCTCAGCACTTTTCATTAATCTTTCCTTAGATGTACTTAAGAGAGCAATACCATACTTTGCCCAGCATCTAGCGACATCTGCTGATCTATGAAAGTAATTTTCGTATTCCGCAGCTATGGTTTCACTCGTTTCCTTAGTGCCCTTTGCTTTCAAGATTTCTGAATATTTTTCTAATACACATGATGCTGCAGCTAGATGATGCCTTGCTTGTGGAAATTTGTCATTTTCTATAAAATATTGTGATATTGTCGCGGCATTCAAGGCCCACTCGACATAATCCAAATCTTGCATTATCTTATTTTGGCTTAATTGCTTGCTCAATGTTCTGTGACAATACAATGCAAAATTACACTTGTCATCTAGTTCACGGCACACTTGCGCCAAATAATACAATGTTAATGTGTGAAGTTTCTCGAGAATATTCTTAGCACTTAACTCGCCCTCTATCTCCTGAATACCCATGATGGTCACCATATGAACAGGGTCAAATCGAACATCTTTCGTAAACTTAATGTACATGCTTTCCGCTTGCTCTAAGTAATCTCTAGCTTCCTGATATGAACCCTGTTGTGCATAAATTATACCCATTTGATTATTGGCACTTATAGCTGGTAAAATGCCTTCAGGCGTCAGTTTGCATTCTTCTAATAGATTGATACACCTCATGAAATATTCTTTGGCTATTTCCATATCCTGCACATCAGCTTGTAGGATGCCTATATTTAAGTGAGTTATCGCAATCATTACAGTGCAGAAAGTCTCTTTGGTAAGCACATCCAGTATTTCCAATAAAATTTCTATGGCTTTACATTTTCTTTCGTAAAGTTGATTCGGATCACAATTTGCTTCATGTTCCTTCATCAATGCCTGAGCTTCTTGATATTTTTCTTTTACCCACGATTGTGGGTAATCGGTTATTTCAAAACTATTATCCATTTTCTTATCAGACATAATTCGACCAAAAAATCTGGCTTTCAATATTATATATCCTTTGTTTGTTTTTTTTTTCTTTCTTAGAGTGCCCGATAAAATTACAGATTTTATTCCAGATTTGATTTTCAATTTAACTTAGAGGTATTCAAGCTGGCATCAATTACAATCATAACTATTGTAGTGTCTAATAACAAAAATAATTATATAACATAAATAATTATATTTATAAATATTAAACATTTAAATATTATTTTGTGGAAACTATTGAGAAGCAATTAATAATTACGCATAACCTTACCTTACCAATCAAAATTCGTATTCTTGTCTTATTAATAATAGGCAATTCGAAACACAAAATCCTTACAATGTCATTGTATAATAAAAGCACTTGCCGTTTTATTGTTTAAATACTTGTTTGTATGCTGTGCTCCCGAAATTTTTTAGTATTTTGTTGTTATAAGTTATAACCAAGAGCGGGTTGTATTTACGAGCTCGATTGGCTACTACACTTTGCTAATGCAGCGCTCCATATAATGAATAGGTTTGTTCTTTTCTGTTCTAGATCAGCTGAAAAGAACAAACCTAAATTTTGCCCACAAAATTTATTAAATTTTTCTGAAAAAAAAAAAAAAAAATTGTCCGTAATATGTATTGTATTAATTTTACAATCTACAATTATCCTATCGTTTTTTTTTTTAATATCTAATATATATAGCATGCGATATTATATATTTTACGAAACTACGGTCTTTCTATCTCCGTGCTTGAAAATTTAGATTAGAAAAGCCTGAGAGACATCACGGCCCAGTTTTAGATGATCCTTCAAAACTGAAATCACAAAGAGCCTTTATCATTTTAACTACAGTTTATAAAAGTTTAAAAATTATTGACGACAATTTTGCTGAAAAGAATTGATTCTATATTGCTTTCTCTCACTCACTCACTCAGTTTTAAAAGTAATAACACTATAGAACGTCTTTATTTTATATTAGAAATTTATTTAATACATAAAAGCGTCTTGCGTTATAGATCTCGTGTTACCGGCATTTCGTGCACATATAGCGCGGAACGCAACCAAAACTGTGCACATTATGCGTTACCCACTGAGAACATTCGTGGACATTGGCTACGTAGTTCAATGTCCACGTTCCACAGAGGACGTATCGTTTTCAGGGATCCCCGCAGCTTATATATACATATATACATAGACATAGTATATCTAGACCGAGCGTTTGCCTTTATTTAAGGAGTGGGGGTAAAGATGCACGTAGAAAAGGACATACTCTGTTTCGTGCCCCTTGCGTTCTCTCTCGCTCGCACGTAGCATGACGAAAGAGAGCGCTATGCTCTGTGCGAGCGAGAGAGAACGCAAGGGGCACGAAACAGAGTATGTCCTTTTCTACGTGCACCTCGGCTCCCACTCCTCAACACTCGGTCTAGATATACTATGTCTATGCATACATATATAGAATGTAGTGATCATGTAAAACCGGGTCGTGACGTGACGTGACGTCTCTCAGGCTTCTCTCTGATATCAGTGACATCGATAACGATATCTTCGCGTAGTGACATTTGACCGTTATCGCGTGGCGAGCGTGCATTCCTCGCGAGTGGCAGTTCTAAGAGCAGCTGATGACGGTTGCGCAAACAGAGAGAGAATCGGTCTGTCGTCGCACAGTTTGTGTTTATCTTGATCGCGAGTATTTCTTTTTGCTTCGCCGCGAGACGAACGACGTCGTTGGCATTTTTACGAATAAGGTCTCGGATAAGTGTGCGCGTTCCGCGTTGTCTTGTCAGTGCCATATGTACTTCGTCGACAACGTTGGTCGATATGTGGGTGAAGCCGCAAGAAGTGCTGCTCGCCAACGCATTCTGGTAAAGTCACACAGGCTTTGCGCGCATTTCCCGATTATATTGCGACTGGCAATGTTGTCGATTATATCGTATCAAGTTGTCGATTCGACGATTATTATAGCGGTCATTATTTACGACTCTAAAAATCTAGACAGATCGTTAAACGGTGATAAACAAGCTTGTCGGCGGCACGACCGCTCCGAATGTTTACATCATGTCAAAAGACAGATGACAAGAAATTTGTCACGGAGCTCGAACGCTACGCGACTTTTTATCGCGTCGCAATTCGACAATGTTAATTAACCGTCGCTTATTAGCGCATAAATTTAGGTCTCTTTGAGATAAGGGGAAAATATTATCGGTCATAACGAAATTATATTTTTAACTGCGCGAGCTGCGTAAATAACGGTAAATGTTAGCATAAAAATGTGTAAATATTATAAATATGATGCCCGTTTTTTGTCACGCAAATATCTGATCATGTTTGATAAGCGGCGACATTGGAATCAATTCGTATCTCCAAATGTGCATTGTCTCAATAACGGATATAACAGATGTTAATAAATTGTGGTTAATAATAATCGTTGTTAATAAATCTCAGTAATTATGATTAATAATAATTAGTTAGGATATCTGCTAAAGAAAAGAGAGTATGTATTTTATGATTGTTTATTTATATTTAAATTAAATAATATATTATGACAATCAATTTTTGATTATCTAGATTCTAGATGGTATTAATTATTTTTTAATTTATTGAGAAAATTTCTTTATTTTAATTATGTCCTAAACTGTGAATACACATTGTTAATTACTTTTGTGATAAGTAAAATAAGTAGAATAAGTAAAATAGAATTACTTGTTATTTTTCAATATAGGATTACTGAGCAAGCAACCGTATATTTTGTTTTACAACGTCGCAAGGGACATGGGAAGACGAAAGGTCTTACCTCTATATTGGTGGGCACGTTGGACAGTGTCTTTGACACTAAACCACCACCTTTTAGAATTCTTCATCAAACACCATCATCGGAAGTTTATTGGGGTAATGTATTAAAATACAAATTTTCAAAATTATAGTCGATAGATAAAACATGTAAAATAATTTAGAAAAGAAAAAAGAGAAAGAATAGAAAGAGAAAAGAGAAATAGTTTTTTATATACATAACTCTTTAATCAGATTGTATAATCATGCATATAATTGTTATTGCATTGTTTCTATACATATATTGTATGCAAATTTAAAAAAATATAAAGCCAAGAGCAACACATACTCGTACATACAATAGATATGCATACAAGTATTGTTTCAGTAGTTGTGATAGTAGCGCAGTAATTGATACTCATTAGCATAAACAATGCCCACTATGTAAAAAGCAGATGTTGGAGGACTATAAATTCAATATTCTTTCTCACCTATGCTTAGTTTTGAAATCTATGCACTTATGACTTCAGGAAATTGCAGAAAACAGATTTAGTCTTTATTTTAAGCAGTCTGAATAATTAATATGTCTTTTTTTACATTCGAAATCTATAGAAGTGGCATGTTCTTTGACTCGCGAAGAAATTTTGCAAGATTGGGAATGGCTCCACACAAATTTAATGACTACGCTCACATCGTTCGATACCGAGGAAGAGATAACGGAATTCGTTTGTTGCAAAATCCAATCCATAATAGCGAATAGCATTCCAGATTCTCAATTTGCGGATGGTAGAATCATTAATTGTTATGTAAATCTGTGTAAGAATGTGATTGTAAATGTACATAAAATTAAATATTAATATTGTTTGCAGAAGAAGATCCAGAATCTTTTAAAACTGTATCTTTTAAATTCCATCAACTGTTCAATATACCCAAGGAGGATAAATTGGTCAATTATTATTCATGCAGGTCTTTAAATTTTAAATACATAAAAATTATATAAAAATATAGTATTAAATACATAATTTTAGGCTAAATTATTAAACGATAATTTTCCTTTTAGTTACTGGAAATCTCGATTACCTAGACAAGGATGGCTCTATTTGTCTGTAAATCACATGTGCTTTTATGCTTACATATTAGCGAGAGAAACAAAGTTGACTGTAAGATGGACAGACATTACTGAATTGAACAAAACTAATTCCCTTCTTGTTCCAGACAGTATACGTGTTGTAACGCGTGACAATAAAGAGGTAGACATTGATATGCATTTCTTTATATTTCTGTACATTATTATTATATGATATGTCCCAAATGGTAGTTTATTAGCTTTAATATTCTTTCTTCTATGTGTTGCAGCATTATTTTTCTATGTTTTTACATAAATCTGAAACATATTCATTAATGGAACAACTGACCAATATTGCTATGAAAAGGTATTTGATTATTTCTAACATATAATGTATAGAAAATATTTACACAAATATTTATCTTCACATATTAATATCGATTTTTATTTGTATTTTTTTTAGGCTCATTGATGAAAAAAGTGGATTCAATGAGGATAGAGACTTACTGAATAAATTAAGGTATATTTTGATATATAGTTTGATATATAGTATAATTTCTTATCAAATTGGCAAATTGGATTAGAATAAACAGTGAACTAATTTTTAATTTAGCAAAAATGTGCCTAAGAAACCATCTTTCTTGAAGAGAGATCTTGATGCACGAGCACATTCGGAGGCATATAGGCTTCAGTTTAGGTTGCCGGGAATTGAAAAGTTGGACGGTAGCATCGATGCAACCTTATGGACTCCATATAACAAGAGATATGTCTGGGGAAAGATATATCTATCTCAAAATTATCTCTGCTTTGAAAGTAGGGTAAATATCTACATAAAATATGATATAAGCATTAAATATAAAACTGGTTATAATATTTACTTGTTATATGTCTGTATCTATCTAGGTAAGAAGACAAGTCAGTTTAGTTATACCTCTGAGGGAAGTGACACTCGTTGAACCAGCGGAAAATCAGTCTAGTACAGGAGCGGATAAGTCAATACTGGTTACAACGACGCGTTCGTCGTTTCTATTTGCTCAAATACATGACAGAGATTTCGTTGTGCAAAAAATCTCCGAACTTCTAGCAAAGTCCAAGCTTAATTACATGTATGTTTGCATTACAGCGCATTATTTTCTAGCTGATATTAAATACAGATATGCAAGAACACGAATTATAATCTTGTTACATGCTTTGTTATAGAGTTAAAGATAACGTATGTACATCGAATTCCTCGAGCAGTAATATTAGCAACTGCGAAGAAGTGAAACCTGTAGAACAATGGAAGCCTCAACCGCCATTGATGACGCTTTTTAAAGCTCCATTAACCACTGAAGCCGCGTTGAAGCAAGAAGCTAAAGAAAAACAATGGGAGCTTCATTTTGCAGAATATGGAAGGGGAATAACAATGTACAGGACTACGGAAACGTCGAAACTCATTATTCAAGGAATACCACAAACCCTTAGAGGGGAAGTTTGGCTCACTTTTTCTGGTAAGATATAAGTGGTTTGTTATATTAAATAATTCTGTGGACTTTTTCTAATACATAAAAAACGTTTTATTACAGGTGCTCTAAATGAAAAAGCAATGAATCCAGATTTATATAAATCGCTCGTCGAACAAGCTCTTGGTAAATCATGTCAAGCAAACGAAGAAATCGAAAGGGATTTGCATAGATCGTTACCAGAACATCCCGCTTTCCAGTCCGATACTGGAATCAGTGCGCTGCGAAGGGTGCTTTCCGCCTATGCATGGCGAAATCCTCAGATTGGTAAGTTCGATTATTTTTTTACTTCTCTTCATATAATGTAGTGAACTTAAACTTTCACCTAAACTCTGTTCAAATTTTGATTATAAAAGAATTATATATGTTTTTATATATCTAGTTATTAAATATTGATCTATCGAGAATCGATGCCTTAAAATAAAATATAAAAATATTTCTTAATATTTATATTTAGAAATTATTATATAATTTAATGATATTGCCATGTGTCAATAGCAAATTAATACGAGTGAAAAATTTTTCATAAATCCTCTTGCAGGTTATTGTCAAGCAATGAATATAGTAGCTTCAGTTTTGCTGATCTATTGCTCTGAAGAATCAGCATTCTGGCAGTTATGTAATGTTTGTGAGTCATTACTACCTGATTACTATGATCGAAGAGTAGTCGGTGCTCTTGTTGACCAAGGTCTTTTAGAGGAATTGGCTGCCGAGCATTTGCCAATTTTACATGCCAAATTACAAGAACTTGGCTTAATTAAAGTTATCTCATTATCTTGGTTTCTAACTATATTCTTGAGCGTCATGCCAACAAGTAGTGCCGTGAATATTATGGA